CCCAACTGCACACTCAGACCTGCATGCTCAGACCAGCACTCCCAGAACTATCGTTTTTTCAGACAGTGCCACCTGCTGTTTGGAAGATTATCTAACCTGATTAGATAAGATTACCTAACCTGAATTCAATTGCTGATAGATTGCAACTTACACTATTTTTCTACTATAAAATATTACGCTATGACTGAATGCATTATTATATAAAATATTACACATACTAGGTTATGATTTAATGCATTAAGTCTGGTTTATTTTTATTAATTGTATTTGTAAATAGAAATTGTTCAGTTACTTAAATATTTTCATAGTCATTTATTGTTTTCTTAATTATTAAGGATTTATCACATTCTTTAATATTGAGTTAGGGGATGAACATTAACTCTATATTTACATACAATAAATTATAGTGCTCGGAGTCATTTTCTCACACCAAACTTTATTTTTGTATTCTTTTTCATGAGGTCCTACAAGTCATCGAGCTGTAAACAATGCAGAGAAAAATGGTGAAAAAAATAATTGGGTTAATAATGTATATATTACATATTAAATAACATCAAATAAAATAAATGCTTTACATTCTTGTTGGGGAGATTTCGAGCAATTCGAGCAATTCTTCTGTCAAATTCCTCAACTTCACTAAAAGAAAAGATAAATGCTGTTGTCGTGTAACACATGTAACACAAAAATCCAACAGTTTTTGTACAAACAAAAATTGAAAACATACCTTGAGTGATAAGTGGGGCCCTGGAGGAACATCTCTTCAGCCTCCTGCCAAGACAAGCCCTGCAGCTCGCAAAGGCCATGAATGATGGCCTGTACAAATAAACCAATTAATAAAATAAAACATGCACACACTGCAAATATTACCTTCATGCTGGACCGATCTATTGAAATGTGCCTGCAGATGCGTTTGCACTTTTGCCAACCGTGTTGGTTGGAAAACTGAGGCATCACAAAATGGACAGTGGAAATGACTGCAGCATTTGGTGCACTGTATTAGTTCTGGCAGAGACCCCCCTTTTTGAATTGTAATATCCATCTGGGAAAAAATACACAAGTCACACGCAAATTATTTAGACAACCCAACAGAGCTCATATTGTCAATTCTACGCAGATTACTTGATATTTTGATGAAAATAAACTCAAGGCCGCATTTTATTCCAAAGATCTTATTTGTAATTATTACAGAACTTATTTCTAATTGTTACACTGTTATTGTGTTACTGTTATTGTCTGTGGTAGCACTTTGAGATTTGTAAAGTACAACGTGCAGTACGTGCAATATTATTTTTCTTACACATACTACTACTACTAATAGTAAATGTAGTAGTAATATTAGTATGAAATAATAGTAGTTAATACAGTACTATGTACAGTAGACCTACATAGTATTAAAATGTTACAAATAATAATTGTGTTATATATTATACATTTTATTTTAACATTTTTACTTTAACGTTTTTTATTTTGTTAGAAAACATATTAAGTATCCCAGAATGGTACAATAACACAGAAAATAAGAGCAAGCTGTAAATATTATAAAATAATGCTATCTTTCGACACTAATTTTGATCAAATCAAACACTGACTAAGCTAGCAATAATAGGTTACGCACCACGTGTTTGAAAATAACTGGGGAGAACAAAATTCACGGCTTATTTTGTCGAACTATCTATCTAAACTATCATTAAATACTAAAATAGGCTATTCGTTTGTTGGTGTAATAAGATGTCACATTGATTTATGCCATAAAACCTGGTAATTTTCAGGAATCGCTTTAATAAAATGAATAACCTTACTCACGTGGCCGATGTTCTTCTTCTTCTTCTTGTTTTATGGCGAATAACTCCTTATCGCCACCTACTGTACTGGAGGTCAAGTAAACTTTCATAGGTGATGAGTGAAATTTGAGTACCAAAAAACAAAACAACAAAACATTCAAAACACCCAAAAACCATGGTGGATGTTTCCTATTCTCTCCAATCTATGGCGCACTCAGATCACATGCTCATGCTAGCGCTGCGTGTTCAGCTCCTCTAACACTCACAATTAGCTCTTCATGCCCCAGATTAGGTAGAATACTCCCATCCACACATATTATAATCTAGATCCTAAACCTGAGTCAGATATATTTAATTAGTGCTCTGTATACCCGTCTATCCATTAAACCTTTTCCTAAAATATCTTCATGTGTCAAACTTTCCTCCCCAAAGTGACTAAATAATATGTCACAATATACACTATATTTACTACACCTAAAAATACATGATATACATTTTCAGATACACCACATACATCGCATAACCCATTTTCATGTAAACCCATAAGTGCCAGTGTTTCAACCCTGTATGTCCCAGTCTTAATCTAGACAGCCACACCTCTTCTTTCCTATTTCTTCCCTGACAGTTTATCCTCCCTACTGTCTGCGTAATATTATAACACCATCTCCCTGTGCTGCTATTATCCCATCTATTTGGCCATTTATTCATTAACTTTTTCTTTAAAATCGACTTTAACATCCACCTCCATCTTGTCCAGTGCTTTTTTTTTGCTAGTTTATCAGCAACTTCATTACCAGATACCCCAACATGTGCTGGCACCCAACAAAAATATACCATTATTCCAGCCTCTTTCAATCTGTATAAAGATAGATACACTTCCATTAATAAATCTTCTCTGTCTGATCTCGCATGTGCTATACTAATTAAAGCTGAAGACGAATCTGAACATATTACCACTTTATTTGGTCTGACTTGTTCAACCCACTGTAGTCCTATTATTATAGCTGTTAACTCTGCAGTGTATACTGATAAATCATCTGGCAATTTCA